CTGAGCCCACAGTGAGTGGAGCCTGAGCCCACAGTGAGTGGAGCCTGAGCCCACAGTGAGTGGAGCTCTGAGCCCACAGTGAGTGGAGCCTGAGCCCACAGTGAGTGGAGCCTGAGCCCACAGTGAGTGGAGCCTGAGCCAGATGTGTAAAGCTGTTTCACTGAGTGAAGCCACCCACTGGCAAAAACATAAAACATGTTATACTTGTTCACATTTTATAAAATGAAGTTTACTCAGTTGACTTGAGGAATGATGCGTCCTTCTCATTGTGATGCTTTCTTTCTAAACCATAGAAGCTGTGTTATTCTGTACCACAGATTAATGCTTTCAAATATTTCTTCAGCATTAAAGTAATCCAGTGACACTTGTGTGTATTTCCACTCAGTAAACAATAGCTGTTGATACTTAATTCACTAAACTTTATCTTTCAAATTGTAAACAAATGCGCTTTAGAACAGCATTTGTCGCTGGCACAGTGTAACTCAGTTTAACACAGTAACCTGAAGTGTCCATCCAAGTGGCCAATCACATTAGGAGCCCATCCTCCTTTGGGCTCTGCCTCCCGACAGTCAAAAGTAAGTTTATTCACGTGAGCAGGATTTCTCTCTGAGTGCAGGGAGGTACCTGCAGGACCCTGACACTGTAGCAGTGCATGCAAAGCAGACGCCCGTGCGTGCACGATGGCGTCAAAGTCATCCTGTTCCACAGGACCACGGCCTCATTTACAGGTGGCAACTTGCTTCCCCACAGTTGCAAATGCAGTTTGCCTGATTATGTGTTGGCAAGAGTGTTCTGATGAAACTAGTGCTTCCTGGCCATTTTGCAATCACCACATTGTCTTCATCACATCTAGTTTTTCAGTCCATGGAACAGAATCATAGAGGAGGGTGCCCAAAATATTTATCACAGTTGTAGCTGTACACAGTGGTTCTTGAACGTTTGTGAGTGCTTTTATTACATTGTAAAGTTTCACCTATGAATATTTGTATACAGATGTTGTTTAGCAGTTGGTTTTTTGAAAGATAAATGAGACTGCATGTTGCTTTGTAGGTCAAGGGGCCGCAGGCCACGGCGGTCACGCTCGCGGTCAGTGTCACAAAGTCGGCGGAGGGTTGCATACAGCCAGAGAGACCGTTGGAAGCGTGAGCCGAGCCATTCCCCTGTGCTAATCCTACGCAAAAACAGGTCGCCCTCACGGAAACACGGCAGCTTGAGCAACAGCCCTCACCGTATCAGTGAACTGGGTCAGATATTATGAAGTCACTCGTGTGAATGTAATACGTGCCATTTTCCCTTTTTGTTACTTGTATTTTGGTGCTATTGTATATAACAAAGATTAGCGCCTGATTTTTACTAGGTGCCAGTTTTTACTAGAAAACTCTAAAAAATGAAGTAAACCTCTTGTTTACTTCATTTTTTAGTTGCTCACCTTTCCTTGTCAACTTGATGCTTCCCCCCCCCCCCCCCCCCCCCATGATAAAGCTCAAGTTTAAATACTGTGAGAACAACAGGGGATTCAAATTAATGTTGTACTCTATCATGAGTCAGTACCAGTAAATATATGTGGGATCCTGTATGTTCTGGGGTGGCTGTGAACTCCAAGTTGGTATGAATAGAAAGAGTGCTTGTCTGAATGATGAATTAGGCAAGTAGTATAAAGCACTTTGAGTCTGAGTCCATTACCTCTGAAAGATGATGGTTATATGTTGCTTCTGACTATGTGATCATCACACTAATTCCCATTAATTCATTTTGTTGTGATGATTTACTTGAGATTACAATTTTCTCATCTTCTTTACCGCTAAAATCATATGCTCAGATTTCTATTTAAAAAAAGGAAAATAAAACTGTATATAGTTGTTAGAAACTTCATATTATGTATTATGTCTAAAAAATGTAAGATTTATTTTTTTGTTTCTCAGATAAGGAGCAGTTGTTGGAAATTGCTAAGGCCAATGCTGCTGCCATGTGTGCCAAAGCTGGTATGCCTATCCCTGCTAGCCTGAGATCCTCAGTGCTTCCCCTGGCTCTGCCAACAATGGCTATGAATGCTGCAATGGCCAGTATGACTGCTGGTAGGAATTTGACTTTCCTCTTTCCTGCATGATTTTTTCCTCCTGTTATCACTAGGGATGGGTATCGTTTAGGTTTTATCCTATACCGGTGCCAAACCGGTACTTTTGAAACGGTGCCGGTGCTTAAAGAATGGAGAACACAAACGTTGTCCTAAAACCTCTCATGTTTAGCTGTTTTTTGTAAAAAGATAACAATGTTAGCCTTTTCTGCAGCTATGGGGCATATATGGTATCACTCTATCAAACAAGAAGACAGCCGCATGTAACTACGACGGTGTTTGCTAGTTCACCTTACGTGCATTAATGTAATAACGTGGTTAGCCTACTCAATGTAAATTACACACGAACAACATGAAGCTACTCACGCAGAGAAGAACGGCTGCTGCATCATCATCTGCTCTAAAAGAACGTACGTACCTGGGCCCGCCTACTATCCTTGGAAAGGTAAAATGATTGGCTAGAATCCAAAGTGTGTGACATCTCAAGAAAAAAAAAGCACAGAAAAAAAGCACCGAAATGTGCGCTGCTTTTCGGTCTGGTTACTACCGTTTATGTCAGAACACTGGATACCGTTACCCATCCCTAGTTACCGCTGCTCCATCGATACAGATTTGGTCATTTCCTTGAGGGGACTGTTTAACTTAGTTTGAATCTGTCTGTTTGGACTGAAGTTGTAATTTATCAAAATGTACAAATACAGACATCCAGTTGACTTCTTTCTTCAACAGTAAACTGCATCTCTAATAAAGTTGGGCAATTGGACGGATACTGTATATTGACTACAGGCTGAGGCTTTCACCAGTCGTTTTTTACAAGAGCGATTTATTTATTTATTTGCCCATGAGTTGGTTTGCTAATAATGTTGGTTGAAACTAAGAGAAGCAGTCAACGGAGAACATAATAGCGCTGTTTTTAGCACTATAACTGTGTTTATCTTGTCACACACTCGACCAAACAACAAATACAAAATTAGACAATAAGTAAGTTAAAAATCCAAATGTCTCTTCCTGCGAACATTAAAAAAAAATCTGATGTAATGTTAAGTTTTTTGTGTGCTTTGGCTCATCTCAGATAAATAAATAAATGAATGAATAATCCAAAAAGTAGCAATATTAATACTGAAACAAGAAAAGAAGGTAAAATATTCAAACAAATCTTATAAATTCTAAACGTGCATGATTACGTTGCTCCGCCCATCGAAAAGTCACCTGCGTGAATATATCACCTGTTGTCATTTATTGGACTGACGATTGTCGGTTGGAAACTTTTCAGATATCGCCTAACCTTAATCCCTGATGTCTTTTCTTGTGTGTGAGTAGTTCTACTGCTGATTAGTAAGTTTTCTGGAGCAAAATAACCATGAAGGTCAAGTGAAGTGTCGAGTTGTGTTGAGTCAATAAAATAAGTACTATAAGCAGAATTACACGACTGAAGCTGAAATGTTCCAATATTATTTGAGTCGGCTGTTGTGCTTGTTATTCACCGATTTGTGTGTTTTGCCGTGTCTCCTCTCACTTGTAGCCACTGTGACAGCAGCCTTGACTAACATTGGCACTTTGTCGTCACTGGTTCCACTGCCTTCCATTATGCAGAAGCCACCCGTTGCCCCTGCCCAACCCAACATCGCTAATTTGGAGGAGGTGAAAAGGAAAGTAGCAAAGCAAGCGAACAGCATTAGCATTAAAGAATTTACTGACGTAAGTTTCATGTTTTCTATGTATCAAAACAACTAAAGTTAGTGCAAAGGACAGGCCATCGTATGCCAAAAGAAAACGGTCACAAGCTGAACAGGCAATGAGTTAAAACACTGAAGCACTCCATGATCCTCTGTGATCCAGGCCCTTGTGCATGCTCACATAGCAACGATGAGCCTGATACTTAAAAATGATTTTGGATTTACATACATCCAACAGTTGTTGTATAAAACATGAGCTGATTCAAAGAGGGTCAGGTGGGATTTCTTTCCCAGATTTGGTTAATGTCATAGAGTGAGCCTTACATTAAAGGACAAGTGCATTACATTTTGTTAAAGCTCTGCCGCTCTACCTTTATAGGTGGAAAGGTCTCTGTCTGCTTACATACAGGATCCTACTCAGATCATAGCAGTTCTAAAGTACAGTTCTGCAGTGTTCTGTAACAGCCATGGAGATCTGCAGCCTGCAATGTGGAAAAACAAGAGCGATGCGTCGTAGTTACATAGCTTACTCTTTATATGTGTGTGTGTTTGCAGAAATGCAAGATGATTGCAGACAGTACAGAAGAGCTGCCAGTGGCAGTGCCTCATGTTTCAGACGAAGAGGATGATGAGAAACCTTTTGGAGGAGCAGCTCTACGAGAACCAAAAGCAATCACCTTCAGTGTTAATGTAATATGCACACGTGCGCTGCATCGTGTCTGTTTTAAATGCAGTCAGACCCAGAAATATTTGGACAAACACGCAGTTTTCATAGCTTAGTCTTTGTACACCCACAACACACCTGAAATGCAGGAGCTGAAATACCAATTAGATGCAGACTTAACTTAAATATAAGTGATACAGCTGAAATGTTACGTTTAGGATTTACAATCATTTTGTTACACAATCCTTTCATTTCAGAGGTTTATTTATCTTGGATATTTTAGGAATTCTTTACAGCCATTCAAATCCATTTTCTCATCAGGCCAAGTTCACATGATTGGCTCATATGCTGAAGGTTATCATCTGTCTGTACGATTCATTTAACTGAATCTGAGCTGCCAGTATGTCCCTATACACATGACCCTGTCATCACATGCAGGTTTCTTTGTCACGCTGTTTTCTTCCTGTGGTTCTGGTGTGAACTGTGAACTGATTATCTTAGTTTCAACTTTCTGAAGAATGCTATCCCAAAACTGGGCAGATGTTTTGAGTGGTTTTTCTGTTCTTGAGCTGATGTCAATTATATAACTCAGTTCAAATTCCCAGATAGGGAATAATATGGTGAAAGTGGGAGTTTCAGAAGAGCGAGGGAATGAGACTCGCTGTCGTTTGGATTTCACAAAGAGGATGTCAAACATCCAGTAATTTGCAAAACATGCAGCAAAACAATTGCTGCAAAAGGTAGCAGTACCACAAATGTATTCCACCAGCTGAAAAGTCATAGCTTTGTGAGTCTTTATGTTTGACTTTTGCTTGGCTCATTTTGGGTTTATTTTTGATGGCCTGGCACATTCTCTGTGGGCAGGGACAGGAGGAGAGAAGCTGCAGAGAGGATGGGGTCACCTGGTCCTTCATAGGGTTTTTCTGGTGGATATAGTCGCAGTTGTGTAATAAGTAACTTTTTCGAAAAAAGAAGTAACCATTTCAAATTTTTGTCCAATCAGAACTCAACAGTTCGTCCAGCAGTCCGTAGTGATGCAGGCATGGCCAAGGAGTTCCCAGTGTCTTCAGGAACACAGCATCGTAAGAAGGTATGAAACTCGTTTTTATTAGACTGAATAGAATCACTTCCAGTGTGCATCTCAGTGCTACGTTTCTGTTCCACTTAACCGGGATGTC